TATCTTTCAACCTTACATTTCCCTTAGACCTTCAAATCCCAACCTTATTCTACCAGTAAGCCTCTGGAAGCAAAAGCAAAGAACTTTCAAGGACAAAAAGGGAAAAGATTATATGAGACCCAAGTAGAGCAAGATTTGAGCCCAGGAATCCTGACTCTAATGCAGCCTACAGCTCCCAAAACTTACATCCAGCGTGATGTCCCAGTATCCAAGCCACAAGGACGAAGGCCATCTGCTGGACCCTCTGCTGGAGGTCCCTGTGGCCGTTGCACTTACAGCCTTGTAACAGGAAATTGGTACTTATGCTGGGAGCAATTACAGAGTTTGGAAACATCAGCTCAGATAAAATTAGATTTGACCCGAGAGATTGTTTCAAACACCAACTCAACAGCCTTTGATGTTCTCAATACCATCAAATTTCACATAGCTCTCCCTTTGTAGCTTTAAAGTCAGTCTTTTCATCAGGGAAATGAAAAAGACCTGTTTTTAGTTAAAATCTTTAAAGCATCTTCCCTGGAGGTGTTGTAACAGGCTGGCAGGTGTGGCATCTGCTGGCTGTATCAAATGCCACAGCACTTGAGGCCTGGATATTAGCTGAGGTATCACTTTGAAAGGTGCTGCCCAGAGCCCAAGTATCTTGGAAAGGATGATATGTGCATCTTACAGAGGGAGAGAAAAAGGACTGGAGATGTTACAGGCCCTGCCTCAGGGCACATGGTTCATCCACATCACAGCCAAGACTTGAGCCCAGGTTGCTAGTCTTCCAGCGCTATTCCTTTTATGCTTTCATTATGACTTCTTATACCTAGGAAAGATTTTCACTTAGAGTTTGCACAATGTGACGGAAAAAAAGAAATTACCAGTTGGAAGACAACTTCAACTCTTATTTCAGGAGCCATTGTCTCTTTTTTTTTTTCCTGCAACAAGAAAGGGAACCCAGAAAGGTCAGGAGGAGGGCAAGATGCTGCCACCCTGTTTACTATCCAGACAAAGCATCAGCTCTGTGTTTGACATACAGTAGGTGCTCAATACACAAAACCAGCTGCTGTCAAGTTGGTTTCGATGGATGATACCCCTGTGCATCAATGTAGAACTTCACAAGATTTTTTAGAATTAAACCACCAGACCTCTCTTTCAAAGAATCACTTCTGAGGGAAGTTCGAACCACCCACCAGATTGCAAGCAAGGTGTTCCTTAGAGGCAAGGATGGTGAAACTTGTCTCACATGCTGTGGGTGGGCTGTCTAGAGGCACCACTCCTTGGAAAAGACATCACAGAGGGTGAGGGAAAGCAAGGAAGACACTCAGTGAGAAGGACTGACACAGTGACTGCGACAATGGTCTGGAGCAAGGTAGAGATTGTAAGGATGGGGCAGGATAGGACAAGGTTCCAGCCTGTTGTTCAGAGGGTCACTGTACATCGCAGTTGATGCAATGACCCCTAACAACAGTGGTAAGGGGAGCATCGTGAGTTTTGTTGAATAGTTTCTGCCAAGTAATTTCTCCAAATTCATAAAATACTAGCTCGGATGATAACTGAGGATGACAAAAGTGGCTTTCCACCTAAGTTTCATCCCACCTCTTTGTCTTCTTGGCTTGTCACCTTTCTTGTTGCTTTCAGGGGCTTCCTCTTCTCCCAGTGAAATCGATCTAGGCAACAATTAGATGTGGGCCCAGATTTTCAATTAGCAGATCTGAATAGAAGATATAAGCTAATATCATTTGATCTTTCATTTATTCACTGAGCCAATCTTTTTTTAAAAAAAAAATAACACTTGTGCTTTTGTGCCATGAACTTTGCTAGGCGATTCTAAAATGAATGGGACTCACTTTTTTACATAAAGCACTTACACTTAATACTAGAAAATAAATGTGCATACAACAACTCAAGTGATAGATTATACATGAATGATATAATCAGAGTGCTCCGGAGGGGGTACTTATTCTGCTGGTGGGTGTAAGGATTAGGATTTTATAGACAGAATGATACCAGACCTGAGTTTTAAACATAATCAGGATTTTCCTAGATTTTTCTTTTTTAAAGAAATAGAAGCGGATGAGTAGTTGAGGTGAAAAGATTACAGTCTAATAAAAATGACCTCCAGAGTTCTCATCAGAGACCATAAAGTCATGCAATCTATTTAATCCTGTATCTGTTACATTTTTCCTCTCAGCAGAGAAGCCACACGGCCCCTCCTTTGGTAACTAATGCTGTGAAAGCTCATTACCATGACAAGACATTTGTACCTGCTTTACCCTCTGGATGAGGTATTCCTCTCCAAAATCTTCCTAGGACTTCCTTAATGTTAACATTTAAGTCTCAGCTCAAGTGAGACTCACATAGATGAGACATGCTGTTTGAATCTCTGTTTTACACATCAGGACCTGCTCCCATCGATGAAGTCATTCACCCAGCTAGCAAGTGAAGTTGTCAAGCATGAAACCAAGGTGGTTAGAGAATCTGTTCATCTCCAGTACCGCTCTCCCAGCTGAATTCATTATACATTTGCATGTTTCTCTCCTTGCTCTAAAATATTACCCATATGATGACAGAATCCTTGTCTGTCTTGTCTAAGACTGTGTTCCCAACACTTACTATGAGGCCCAGCTGCAAGAAGCTGCAGAAATGATTGACTGAATGAACAAATGAGAAAAAATATAAAAGAGAGGATGTTCTCTTAGGAGAAAAAAAATGTTAGAAGTCTGCTACTCCTAGGTAAGAAATTTCTGACAAAGCTTATTTAATTGTGCTCTTGGGGGAACTATGTCCCCAGTTTTAGACTTTCACTCAAACTGAGTGCAAGTGTTATTGGAAGTACAGGATAGAAAGGAGTAAGCTCAATGGTTGGATGGCAGAGACTGGAAGATAATTAGAGCTTTGATGGGGAAGGGATCCGTACACTCTAAACTTGTTGTTCTGCTGTCGAGTCACAACTGGAACTAACTCATAGCTGACTCTCCGGCAGGTTTTTAGAGGCTGTAATGGCACATAAGGAGATTGTCCAACTTTCTCCAGTGGAGCAGCTGATGGATTAGAACCATGTGCCTTTAGGTTGGCAGTACAACTTCTTACCACTAGGTCACCAGTGCACACTCGCAAGTCATCACATGTCTACTGTTGATCACATATGATATTGGGCATCACATTATGGAAGTTCTTTCCACAGAGCAGTGAATGCTAAACATCAGGACAATAACTTCCTGAAAGGTCCCCACAGTGTCCATAACCTAGGAATCCTCTTCAGCTGACCAAACCTAGGTGCCCAGAGCAGATGGTGTTAATGAGCCTGAAACCACTCGAGCTACTTCTGCATCTGCCTCCTTCCAGAAGCTCACTCTCAGCCTCAGGTCACTGATATCTTCCCAGGGAAATGCCAGAGTGTTCAGTGGCCGATTTCATCTCGTCTTGTAGGCTCTGCGAGATGGTGGTGGCTGTAGGATGGTGATCACTCCTCCTGGGAAGAGCTCTCCAGCCTGGCCCTGAGTTGCTATGCTCCTAAAAAGCCCAGCCAGCCACTTGGAGACTGATTAACAGCACCTCGCCCAGTCTTGTTACATACCGGAGCAGGTAAAAAGAACTCACAGAATCCAGTGTCTGGCAGTTCTGCTTTCTAGCAAGTAAACACACAGATTCAATGGAAGGAATGGTGATGGTTTGGGTTTGGAGCGCTGTTGTGTGGCTTAATTAGCTAAACTAGGAAGCCTGGTGTATTAGTTAAGTCCTAGGGTGGTATTAACGGTTAATATGCTCCACTGTTAACCAAAATGTTAGAGGTTTGAATTTACCCAAAGGTACCTCAAAAGGCTTCTCCTTCTGAGGGAAAGAAAAAAAAATCGGAGAAGTTCGATTTTGATACATATGTGATGGTTTAATAACAGCTGGTGTTCGCGTACTAACTACAGGTAAAAACATCCACTGGAGCAGCATCTGATGGCATATGCTTCGTTTCCTCAGTTCCATAAGGTTTCCTTCCACTCCTCCCCCCTCCTCCCAACAGCCAGAAAAGATTCATTAGGGACACAATATGCAGAAAAGTAGGCTGGTGGCTTGTGTATTGCCTGTTGAGTTGCTAATTAAGAACTCCTTGAGATCCAGATGAGGTAGTCACACTGTAAAGATTTACGGCCAGTGTAGTGGGTTTGGGTGTGGGTTTGCATTGCAGAGTTGGACAGTTGCTCCAGAAGGTGGGTGAGCAGGACCTCTTCACCAGGAGCCATCTACAGGCTGAAGTGACGCGGTGCTGCAGAGGAAAGGCCTCTCTTCCGGGCGTGTCTGATGGCGCTGCTGAAGGCTTTGTCGCTGGCGGCTCTCATAAAGGTTCTTACTTGTGTGGGTGAGCGCAGATCTCACTGGTGGAGGTGGGAGGAAGGCCTGGACACATTCTCTTCCTTTGTAGGCGCTCAGGTGCTGCCTAAATCTCAAGATGGGACTAACAGCTTGCTGCGCTGGCCACACTCCCAAGCCTGCTCACACTTTGGATGCAGTGATGCTGGATGAAGCCAGCCCAGCAGGGGAAGCACTGGTCGCCCTTTGTGGAGATGCTAGGGCTTCAGCAACAGGGTATTGAGCTTGAAGCTTTGCTCTCCGTCTCACAACAGGGCATTTCCCACCCCATGTACTGCCCTCTCAAGTCCTGAAGCCCAGTTCAGTTAGCTAAGAGCCCCCACAGGACCCCAGGCTCCCTGAGGGCCTGTTCTATGTTCGGTGTCCAGCTCCCTGGGGTTAGGTCACTTCAAACGGTCCTCTTATTCAAAGCTATCCCCACACTTGGGGCTCCAGGTAGGACACTCAGCAGGAGCACCTCTGTGCCCTTATCACCTCTCATTCAGGCTGAGGAGATGGTAGCACCTTCCTCAGCTGCTAACTAAGAGCTGGACCAGGAGCGTTACTTCCAATCTTGACTTCCTAAGAGTCTTTGGGGTCCAAGTCTGAGATCTCCTTCTCTGACCACGGCTAAGAGAGTAACTCAAGGCTGGGATGTGGGTGTTGTGTTGATGATTATGTATATGAAGCAGGACCTTCTGATCAAGGTGAGTTCTGGGAGGTGTCCCTGCGGCAAGAAGGAACCCCTGGGAATCCTCATCTACAACCACCATCTTCCTCAAGATGTGCACACCTGGGGTCCCTGACCTCAACATCTGTGCAGAGATGGGGCAATGTGTAAGGATGGGGCATCTCTCAGCTCAGGAGCTCATTCTGACCTCAGCTCCAGCCCAGCCATGAGTGCTGGGCACAAGTTCCACAGGTAAGGAGCAAACATTCCTTTGTCCTGTCCCTTCCTACAGCATTGTGGCCATGGATATAGATGTGATTGCAGAGAAAGCAGCCTTATAACCCAGCCACCCATGGCTTCATACAAGATGTTGTGTGGTCTGGACATTAAATGAACATCGTACAATATGTTTGTTCTGTTTCACAGGTTATATTTTGAACATTGTGAACAAAAATAGCATACTGGCATCCACTTCCTAAACAACATGCCTCCGGAAACTCTATGATAAATGTCGATAGTTGTAGAGGGGCTTTAGGCCTTTAGCCTTTGGTTCATGGGGTCATGTATACACACACACACACACACACACACACACACACACTCTTGTGGCCTAGTGGCAAGGAGCTGAGCTGCAATCCCAAAAGGCATGCGGTTGGTTAGAGGCCACCAGCTGCTCTGCAAGAGAAGGAATGGCAATCTTCTTTTGTGTGATTAACCACTTCTGAAAACATGCCGGAGGGTCAGCTAAGGGTGAGTTCCGACTCTGTGGCACTTTTTAGGCATCATTTAATTTCAAAGCAATTTTATGCTATAGAAACTTTACCATCTCCATTGCACACATGAAGAATTGAAGGATAGACAATAACTTACTCAAAGTCTGATAAGCAAGCAAGCTGTATAGCATGGCCCACATATCTGAACTGCAAACTTGGAGTTAATAACTACTGTGCAAAGAGCTGGAGTCAGAAAAACAAAAGGGCCAAACCCACTCAGCATTTCTTAAGCTGAAGAAACTGAAAAACAAATTTAAGCCTCAAGTTACAATACTTAAGGATGCTTTGGGCAGAATATTAAATGAAACAGGAAGCATTAGCAGAAGATGGAAAAAGTATACAGAGTCACTGTACCAAAAGGAATTGTCTGAACCAGAAGAATTTCATGAAACAACATATGAGTAAGAGCCTATGGTGATGTAGGAAATATTTCAAGCTGCTTTGAAAGAATTGGCAAAAAACAAGGCCCCAGGAATTTATGGCATACCAATTGACATATTTCAACAAACAGATGCTGCCCTGGATGTTCTCACCAAGTTAGGCCAAGAAATCTGGCAAACAATCACCTAGCCAACTGACTGGAAGAGATCAATTTATCATTCCAAAGAAAAGTGGCCCTATAGAGTATGGAAATTCTCAAATAATATTATTAATATCACATGCAAGCAAGATTCTGCAGAAATGACTGGAACAGCACATTAACAGAAAGCTGTCAGATATGCAGGCTGGGTTAGGAAGAAGCTGTGATACTAAGGATATTATAGCTAATGTTAGGTGGATCTTTGCTAAAAGCAGAGCGTACTAGAGGAAAGTGTATCTTTGTTTCATTGGCTATACAAAGGTATTTGACTTTGTGGATCTCAACAAACTGTGGCTGACTCTGAGAAGTAGAATTCCAGGACATTTGATTGTGCTTATGCAAAACCTATGCTTGGACCAGGAAGCAGTTGTCAGAATAGAGCAGGGAAACACTGCATGGTTTAAAATCAGGAAGGGTGTATGCTAGGAATGTGTCCTATCTTCACACTTTTCAATCTTTATGTGTAATAGATCATCCAGGAGGCTGGGCTCTATGAGGAGGAATGTGACATTAGAATTGGAGAAAGACTCATTAACAACCTGCATTATGTAGATGACACAAGCCTGCTTGCTAAAACTAAGGAGGACCTGAAGCGCTTGCTGCAGATGGTCAAGAATAAAGCCTTAAATATGGATCAAAGTTCAACATCAAGTAAACAAAGATCCTCACCACTGGGTCAATTGGTAACATCATGATAGATGATGAAGAAATTGAAATTGTTAACAGCTTTAGTTTTCTTGGCTCCACAGTCAACACTCTTAATACCAGCAACCAGGAAATCAAAAGATGAATTGCATTGGCAATGTCTGCTTTCAGGGACTTTTCCAAAGTACTAAAGAACAACGATATCAGTCTGGAGACCAAGATGCACCTGATTGAGGCCATAGTCTTCACAATTACTTTGCTATGCATCAGAAAGGACAATGACTAGGGATGACAGAAAGAGAATTGATTGACTTTGAACTATGATGCTGGATAAGAGTATTGACTATACAATGGATTGCTAGGAGAATAAACAGGTTTTCCTAGAGAGGGTGAAACCAGGCTGCTCTTTGGAGGCAAAGATTCTAAGGCTTCATCTGACATATTTTGGACATGTTGCAAGGAGGGACCAGTCCTTAGAGAGGGAAATCATTTTTGGGTGTGTGGAGGGATATAGCACAAGAGAGGAAGACCCTGGATGGGATGTATTAACTCACTGACTGGAGTAATGAGGGTAGGTGTCAGAGACAATAAGGTTGGCACAGGATAGAGCAGGGTTCCGTGTTATTGTACATAGGGTCACTATGAGTCACAAGTGACTCGATGGTACAAAACAACAACAAATAAAAACATTATGTAAAACACTAAGCAAAGTGAACATTGGATCAACTATGCTCATGTGCTAACCTGTAGCTATAGTGTAACGTACACTAACGTAGTAAACAAGTTCACATTTTTTTCCAACCACTTCAAAGACTCTGCTTCTAGATATGGCTTGCATTTGTCTCTCTCAGGCCCGCCACACTGTCCTACAGCATCAAACCTCTTTCTACATTTATAACCTCTGACAGAGTCAGAGGTCTCAGTAAGCCAAATCAGTAGAAGAGATTACTTGTTTCACATGTGTTAAGTTCAGTAAGTGTGTATAATAATGAGAGACAAGAATACACACACACACACACACACACACACACACACACACACACACACACACACTCTAGTGACCTAGTGGCGAGAAGCTGCACTGAAATTCTGAGGCATGCCGTTCAAGACCACTAGCTCTTCTGCGAGAGAAGGATAGGCAATCTCCTCCAGTGCGAGTAACTAGATAGATAGATAGATGTTGTTGATTGCCTTCAAGTCAAGCACAACTCATAGCAACCCTGTGAACAAAAGGCGTGACACCCCTCTACAACTATCAACATTTATCAAAGCTCATAGTGTTTTTGGAGGCAAGTTGTTTAGGAAGTGGATGCCACTTCTGCTTCTGTGTGTGTGTGTGTGTGTGTGTGTGTATACACACTTAGGAAGAATGATACATAGTATCACTTACCACTCTTACCACTTGGTTAAGTGCAGATGAATTTTGAATTTTAGATTGGTTTAATTCAGCTCAGTTTAGCTAAGAATATAGAGTTTTGCTTCTAAATCATCTTCATCCCTTTGTTGGTCTGTATCAAAGAGATTCCAAATGAGGATGTGCAGGGGAAGGGGGTATTAATCATGGGTTTGTACAACTTGTTGGGTGGGGGGAATTAGGGGAATAGAAATAATTTGTTCTTGGAAACAATGTATTCGAATTTTGTAAATAAACTAGTAGAATTTTTTTTTTTAAAAAAAAGGGGATGGAAGCTTCCAAGAATACAAGAAAAGTTCTTTACATGGGCCATGCAGGATGTCAGAACGTAAACGGATATCAATCCAGATCATCAAGTGATGTTCTTGCAACTGTCTGTAAAAGTTCTTCTGATCAATTAAAAAAAATTCCTCTGAATGTCAACGAGGGGGAAATTGTCTCAGCTCCTTGGTGTAGGGGATGTTCAGTTCTAACTTCACTGGGAAGACCTTCAAGTGGTGACTCAGCTCTCACATGCCACTCTGGTACTGGGGACAGATGGTGATCACCTGGGTCATAGCGTAGACAGTCCCTTTTGAGTAGCTCAGCCCTGGTCACCACTCCTGGGGTAATGAACCAATCTTTTATTATTCCATCTTATTCTGTTTTATAGCCTGGATCACACCTTTGAAAATTCAAAAGTCTTTGTTCTATTTTGGCTCTGACTGTTGTTAGTTGTCATTGAGTTGGCTCTGACTTAATGTATTCTCAAGTTCAGTCAAACAAAACACTAGTCCTTCGCCATCTTCAGGATTGCAGGAGTGCCTGAGTCCTTTGTTGGCTTCCAAAGTAAGGAGCTCGTCTCTCAACACTGTATCACACAGTGCTCATTTGTGATCCATGGAGTTTTCACTGGCTAGTTTGAGGAGCAATTCTTGGATTTCTAGATATTTCTTCCATATTAGTCTGGATGCTCTGCTAAGATCTGTTCACCGTAGGTGCCTTCCTAACATTCAGAACACCAGCAAGAAACATTTTTCCATTTATTTAGGTCTTTTATTGGGTCTTGCAAAAATGTTCTGTAATTTTCTTTCTATAGGTTTTTTTTTTAAATGGTACATTCAGACAATGGAATACTATGCAGCACACAGAGCAATAATTTTTTTAAATTACTAGGTAACTTGGGAGGGAATGGAGAGCATTATTGTAAGTGAACTAACTCAATCCGGTAAGGACAAATAGTATATAAAACCATTATTGTAGAATGTGTAGGCGGATCCAAGGCAGGGAAGGGAACAGAGGGGCAAGGATGGGGTTTGGTTAATCATAGGATCACACAATTTGATGGGTAGATGAAGGGGTGGGTAAAGGAAAGGGTAGAGATCCGGTGTGAAAAACAATACATATGAACTTTGTCAGTAAACCAGTATAAAATAGAAATTTTATTAAAAACAACAACAACAAAATACAAACAACAAAAATCCCACCGGTAGCATAGCTCCCAGAAGCCTAGAAACACACGCCACTGTAATATATGAAACAGATGACAAAGGCTCTCCATTAGAGATTTAAAACCTGGTCAGCCATCTGACAAGCAGTTCTGATATAGTAAATTGCATGTTGGACTACTAGCAGAAGGTCAGCTG